ACACAGCAGGCCAAGCAGCATCAGAGGAGCAGGAAAGCTGACATTTCGGCCCTAGACCCTTATTCAGAAAATTTTTCAGATGGCCCAAAACGTCAGCTTTCCTGCTCCTCTGCTGCTTGGCCTGCTGTGTTCATCCAGCTCTACACCTTGTTATCCCAACTCAGACAGTTGGTCTCCTTCTGTATCCCAAATTGTAAGATTCAGGATCAACCTTTTAATGTAACAAAGTAAAGTAGTTTCAATCAGCGTGCCATTTCAGAGAGAAAAATGCAGCATTGTATCTTCTTTCTAACACCAAGATTGCAATTTGCATCATTTGTGCCCTATTGGCAAATAGAAAAGACCTGCAAAAAGGAGGGAGTGTCTCAAAAGGTGGAACTGTGATTTGAATCATCATAGTTTTCCAATGTGTGAACAAAGGTGTATCATTTACATATATTAACATCACTTTTGGAAATTAGATTTTCAATATAAAGTCAGATGGTTGCTGATTAATTCTGTGAAGAGTTTTTCTTTAAAAAAAAGAAAAACCACATCAGAGTTCCTCTGGAACAGGGACTAAAAAGGTTGCCAGAGGGTGGTGACTTTCTTGTTGTAAGTGTAGGTGTGACAATTTCTCATTTATTTATTTTATTGTAAACGTGTTTTAGTCTACATTGTTACAATTTTCACCTTGTTTTAGGTCCAGTTGTTTATGTGTTGGATCTTGCAGACCGCCTCATCTCCAAAGCATGCCCGTTTGCTGCAGCTGGAATCATGGTGGGTTCAATCTATTGGACAGCTGTCACGTATGGAGCTGTGACCGTTATGCAGGTAATATACAGTAACTTGTACATGATCTTGGACTTTTTTGTTTGTTTGGATACGCTTTGACAAATGTATAGCATGCCAACAGCAAATCTGACATCTAGATAAAACACATTTTGGGGTACAGTTATTGGTCAACACAGCACAAAAAGTAGGATAAGCCCTACAGGCTCTCAAGCCTGTTCTGCCATTCGGTCCAATCATGGTTTATCTTGGGCTTCAGCTCTCTTCTCTGAAGCCCCCCTTCGTCCCCATAAACCTTGATTCCTGAGAGACCAAAAATCTATCTATTCTTGATTTAAGCATATTCAGTGATGAAGCATCCACAGCCCATTGAGGAAGTGAACTCTCAACATTCATGGCCCTTTGTGTGATGAAATCTTTCTTCTTCTCCGTCCTAAATGATCGGCCCCTTAATCTGAGATTCTGCCCCTGTGTTCTAGATTGTCCAACCAACAGAAGCACCTTCTTTGTCCACACAGTCAAACCCCTTCAGAATTTTGTATATTGTGAAGTCACCCCTCATTCTTCTAAACTCCAGTGAATATAGGCCCACCTTACTAAGCCCAGCATCGTAGGACAACCCTATGATGTCAATCTAGTGAACCTTTATAGTACTGCCTCCAACATAGTAAAGGACTAAAGTTTCACAAGTACTCAGTGTGGTTTTTCAAAACTCTGTGTACAATTGTAGCAAGATTTCTCTTTCTGCATACTTCAATAACTGCTATTGTGTTGTTTTCCTTCCTAATTGCATGCTAACTTTGAGTTCCTTGTGTAAGCACACACCTGAGACTCTCTGAACATTTATAGGTATCATGTCTTTTTTTTAGAAGCTTTTCTGATCTTAAAAGCAACATTATTAACCTCTCACATTATATTTCATCTTCACCTTGTTTTTTGAACTGTTTGTGATGATGATGATGATGATGTTCGTGTAGCACAGAACGAAAGAATAGTTTTGGTGAACTAATCAGTGGTAGGTAGCTTGTAACATATTACTGAGAAGTTCTCTACAGTTAGCTGTATTTTATTAAGAACCACTGCTAGATTAACTGTGTAATCCATATGCATATAACATCTGTTTTAATTCTAGATTTTTTTCACTCCCACATGAGTATACACATTCACCAGTTATCGATGTGAAACACTGCAGGATCACTTCTTTTGCTTTTATGAAATCTTAAAAAATTCTGAAATTTCTACATAATAATGATATTCATTAGACAAGCATTGATTTGATTACCTTCCATCTGTCTGATCTCTGATCTATTTGTCATTATTAGCCAAATTATTATTGTTATGCATAATGTAGAATTTTGCATTGTTAAGGTTGTGGGACATAAAGAAGGCTTAGACGTCATGGAGAGAGCTGACCCGTTGTTCCTTTTGATTGGACTTCCAACCATTCCAGTTATGCTCATTTTGGGCAAGATGATTCGTTGGGAGGACTATGTCCTGAGACTGTGGCGAAAATACTCCAATAAGTTACAGATTTTAAACAGTATCTTTCCAGGTAATTCAAATGAATCTAGCAAAGTATTTAGGAAATGTGTTTGTTTTTCAGACAACCAAATCATGTTTCTTTTATTTTTAAAATAATGCATGCTTCTTATGAAGACTTACAAAAACTGGTCACTGATATGGGTTACTTGTCTTTTTGAGTATGTATATTAACCTGCAGTCTGTACTCCACCCCATTCCTTCATTCGTATGGATAAGAATGTCCAGGGCATAAGTTACAAAATTAATGCAACTTTGATCAAAATACAGAGTACCCAGGTTGTCCTCCTATTCTGTGGTTTTTACAGGTATCATATAACATATATAAATTGGATTTAAAGGGTGCACTAATGGACTAGTTACATTATGGACCAGTAATCCAGAGGCCTGGACAGAGGATCCATTGACACAAGCTTGGGTCCACAATTTAGGTGGGATGGTATTGCACTGGAGAGGGTGCAGAGGAGGTTTACCAGGATGTTGCCTGAAATGAAAAGTGTTTTAGCAATGAAGAGAGATTGGACTGACTGAGTTTGTTCTCCTTGGAGCAGAGGAGGTTGAGGGAGGATGAACAAAAGTTTGAGGAGCACAGACAGGAAGAAACCTTTCCCCTTTGGAGGGATAAGTGATCATAGGACATACCTTTAGGTAAAGGTAGGAGGTTTAGACGTGATGTAAGGGAAAAACATTTTCACTCAAAGAGTGGTGGGAACCTGGACTCGCTGCCTATAAGGGTGGTAGAGGCAGAAACCCTCATGACGTTTAAGAAGTGTTCAGATATACACTTGTAATGCAAAGCCATACAAGGTTGCAGGCAAGTGCTGGAAAATGGGATTAGAATAGATAGGTGGTTGTTTTTGAATGGCTCAGGCTCACTGGTCTGAAGGGCCTTTTTCTGTGACATCTGTGATGCTATTCAATCCAACAGTAGGTGGGGAATTTAAATAGTTAATTGTATAAATCTGGAATAAAGATTTTTATTTGTTAATAATCATGACCATAAAACTATTCAATTGTTGTGAAAGCCCATCTGGTGTACCAATGTCATTTAAGAAGAAAATCTGCTACCCTTACCCAGTCTGGCCTGTACGTGACTTGAGATCCACAGCATTATCATTTGTTCTTAAGTGCCTCTGAGAAAGTCTTGCAAGCGACACAGTTGTAAGAAACCACTATAAACAAAAAGAAAAGGATGAATTACATGGCAATAACCATGGTATTAGAGAAGATGAAGTAAGGTATACCAGCCCAGTTAACGCTGAAAAGTCCTCATTAACAGCTAGGGAGATCTGTCTAACAAACTAGTCAAGCAACAGCCTGATACACTCAGAATCATGTTTTAAAGGAATATCCCAGTTCCTTTCATTGTTATTCCCATTCCACAATCAGGGCCGATCCTCTCAAGGTCACCCAATTTGATTTACGTAGAGAGAGAGCGTAACCCTGAGAATTAATTGCATTGAATCCTAACTCCAATAATTCTCATGGAATCAGGTTAACCACGAGCAAGGGAATCTACCGATGATTACCATACTGCTACCCCTCACTTGACAAAATCAGTACTATTCCATGTTGAATGCCAAATGAAAGTAACACTGAAGATGTCAAGGACACAGTATGTACTCGGATAGGAAGTTCTATGCTACGTCATCACGAGTGGTTTGGTAGCATGACCAAATGGCTGTCTCCTGAAGCACATGATTGCTAGACAGAGAGCTTGTATCGCAATACAAAGGAAAAGCGTACTTGACATCAACCTTGCCAATCTACATTTCACAATTGCATCTCTCCATGATGGTATTAGGAGGATTGATCACTACCATACTTCTGAAGATTGAAATTGATCTTGGCACTGAGGACACCATCCCATTTGTGTTGTGCGGCACCATCCCCATTCTAAATGAGTGAATCAGAAGATTTTTCTGTTTAAAACTGAACATCCATGAGTTGTTGTGGGCAATCAGCAGCACAACTGTATCCTAACAAAATCTGTGAAGTCATGCCCTAGCACTGTCCAATTACTGTCAAGCTGGGGAATAAATGCTACTTCAGTGAAGGGTGTAGAAGAGCATGACAAGTGTGGCACCGTGCATACTTAATAAGGAGCTGCCATCCTGGCAATAGATGAAGCGGCATGTTGTTGATCAAAGCAAGTCATTATACAACCAACAAATCCGATCAAAGATCTGCAGACTTGTGTACCCAGTCATATATGGTGCTGGACAATAAAACACGTAAAGGGAAGAGGAGACCGTATGAACATCTCCATCCTTGATGATTGTGGAACCCAGCACCTGAGTGTAAATGGCAAAGCTGAAGTGTCTGCAACCATCTTCAGTCAGAAGTATTGAGGGAATGATTCACTTCCACCATAGCTTCCAGCGGTTCCCACCACCATAGAAACCAGTTTTTAACCAATTTGAGTCATTCCATGTGACAACCAAGAAATGGATGAGCTCTTTTAATGCATCAAAATCTGAGCCCTAACAGCATACTGGCCATAGTACGAAGACCCAAGTTCAGAACTATTTTGCTATCCCACCAATCTGCACAATCATCAGTCAAATGACGAAAGATGTTGATAGTGCTATCAAGCAGCAATTGCTCATTTTGAGTTCTGCCAGACCTACGTGGCTCCAGATCTGTTTCCAGCTTTGATCTAAACATGGCCAAAAGAACTGAATCACAGACGTGAAGTGAGAGTGACTTGCCAATTAAATAGCCCAAGCCTGAATGTTGTCTGTGCCTCGCTGCATGTGGGTACAAATTGCTTCATTAGGTGAGGAGTTGCAATTGGAAATGAACACAAGAATCATCAGCAAACATCCACTTCTGATTTGTTTCACGGAAGGGGATCATTGAAGCAACTGAAGATGATTAGGGCCAGGATACTGCCCACATGAACTTCTGAAATGATGTCCTTGGGCTGGCATGCTTGACCTTCAGTAATCATGAATTATTTGTATTAGGTAAAACTTCAATCAATGGAAATGTTTCCCTCCATTTAAATTTTACCAGGCTTCCTTGACATCGAGGCAGCACTCCTCCAACTGTGTAATATTCTACTCAATTTCAGGTTTAATGGTCTACCCATTCAAGTTCATAACAGATTTTAATCAAGCTTTTCAGTTTGCAACTTGTATAGGTTGATCTGTTTTATGGAGTTGTACCTAGTGCAAAAATAGATAGCTGTGGTTGTTGGAGGTGAACCCAGTGTTGTTAATCTGACTATTTTCAATATAGTGTGTCAATAACTTTCCTCCATTGTAAGAACAAAAGTGGAAATATTAGCTGGTGATTGCAGAGTGTTTAGTTCCATACACAACTCTTCAAATAATGAAGAGTAGACCTGGGTAAGTGGGAAGTACATTGCCTAGCATTATTTTACCCCAAATAAACATCTTCAACAAGAGTCATAACACCTGGAATTCAACAGAATTATCATCTCCAAATTCCATGCCGCCAGTTTCTTGAATCACCGTTTATCAGAAGCATAACGGGAGCAACCATGTAAATACTATGGCTACAACAGCAGGTCATCTTTCATCAAGTGACTTAGATCCTGACCTTTTCAACATCTGCAAGGCACAACTCTATAGTATGAATACCTTTCATTAGCCTGAATGAGTGCTCAACAGTGCTCAAGAAACTTCACAACATACAGAAAATATAGTCCATATGATTGGCAGACTCTCCAGTATCTTACTGTGACTGCAGTGTGTACCATCCACAAGATGTGCTGCAACTTTATTCAATATGACCTTTTTCAAGCCTAGATGAACAAGGGTAGGAACAGCTTGGGAACACCACCTGCAAGTTCCTCTCCAAGCCACCCACAGATTTGAAGGTGTGTATTTTCCGTTTTGTCACTGGTTCATAATCCTAGCCACCCTCCCTAGCAACACTGTGGGTGTACTTATGCTACAAGGATGACAGCAATTCAGAAAGGGAGCTTGCTGTCCCCACTGGGGTATTGTGGATAGGCAATAAATGCTGGCCTTGCCAGTGATGCCTGTGTTCCACAAGCAAACTTAAAAAAAAGTTACTGATGGCTGGAAATTACAGTATGCTTTTATAATGCGATTTAAAATGTGACTTGTTTGTAATCTGGTTCAATAATCCCAAATTTCCTTTCTTTCTATGCTGCTGAACTTCATACCTGTCATTCCTGTCCAACTCATCCGCTACTGCTTCAGCTTTCAACTTTGTGGACTCTACCAGCGGAACTGTCATCCTCCCCGCCGCTGCTGCCCCACCGCCACCACGACCATCTTCCCCCCACCGCCTTCTCTGCAACTCCCTTCAGAAAATGGTGGAAGCAGAGTTTTTGAACATTTTTAAGGCAAAGATTTCTGAGCATAAGATTGCAAGGTTAATATGGGGGAGGAGTTGGGAGGGAAGTGGGAATGTGGAGTAATCAGATCAATTGTTGACTCTGACTCTGCTTTCAGCTTCCTAGGCCTTAAACTCTGGAATTTTCTCCACAAACCTCCTCCTGTTTTCCCTCCGTCCTTCCATCCAGCATAGCTCTTTATGTGAACATTGTGGTTTACTCTTTACCGGCCTTATGTGACTCAGTGTCAAATCTAGCTTTGTAATGCCTTGGAATGTTTTATTTTGTTAAAGGTGCTATCTGAATACAAGTTACTGCATCCGCTGTACCCGGTGTGGCTTCCTCTACATCGGGGAAACCAAGCGGAGACTCGGGGACCGCTTTGCAGAACACTTACGCTCGGTTCGCAACAAACAACTGCACCTCCCAGTCGCGAACCATTTCAACTCCCCCTCCCATTCCTCAGACGACATGTCCATCCTGGGCCTCCTGCAGTGCCACAACGATGCCACCCGAAGGTTGCAGGAACAGCAACTCATATTCCGCTTGGGAACCCTGCAGCCCAATGGTATCAATGTGGATTTCACAAGTTTCAAAATCTCCCCTCCCCCCACCGCATCCCAAAACCAGTCCAACTCGTCCCTGCCTCCCTAACCTGTTCTTCCTCCCACCTATCCCCT